TTACGCCCTTTGGTCTTTTCGAATACATTGTCATGGGTTTCGGCTTTCGAAACGCGCCTTAAACTATTCAGAGGTACATTAACCTTGCTTTAGGTGATCTAGACTTCGTTTTCGCGTTTTTCGATGACATTCTCATTGCCTTCGCCAACCCTGAGGAGCATGAGCATCACCTTCAAATTGTTTTGGAGCGTCTCTAGCAGTTCCATCTGCAGCTCAATCTCGATAAATGTGTCTTCGGTGTTCCTGAGTTGTCCTTTATCAGCCACATCGTCAACTCTGACGGATTTAGGCCTTCCGACGACAAAGTTCTAGCGATTAAGGGTTTTTCAAAGCCTAAGACCGTCGAACAACTTCGCCGCTTTCTCGGCATGGTAAACTTTTACCGTCGCTGTATTCCGCATGCAGCCTCATCTCAGATTCCATTGAACGTGTTTCTGAAAGGATCCAAGAAGCTGCTTTTGCGAAGTGCAAGGAAGACATCGCTAATGCAGCTCTTATGGGTTTCCCTGATGGGTCTGCTGAAATTCGTCTTGTAACGGATGCTTCAGAAACAGCCACGGCCACAGCCCTCGAACAATTTTCAAATGGTTCTTGGCGCCCTCTTGCCTTCTTCTCCCGAGCATTTACCCCCGCTCAGAGAAAATATTCTACTTACGATCGCGAATTGACCGCGATTCACGATTCGCTTCGTCACTTCTATTACTATCTTCAGGCTGCCAACTTCGTGATCCTTACCGATCACAAACCCCTCGTTTACTCCCTGTTGCAAAGTCCTGAAAAATCTACGCCCAAACGTATCCGTCAACTTTCCTACATTGCACAATTCAACGTGCAAATTCAGCATGTAGCTGGGAAGGATAATCCGGTTGCTGATTTCCTCTCCAGAATTGACGCCTTCAGGCTGCCTTCGTTGTTCGACGTCGGCAGACTTAGCGAGGAGCAGCTCAAGGATGAGCAACTCAAGGAAATTCTTCACAATCCTACTCATCCTTTGAAGTTAAAGAAGTTAACTTGGGGACCCAATCACTCTCCCCTTTATTGTGACATTCACAACGAAGTAATTCGCTCGTACATTCCTGTGTCGTTTCGCAAGGAACTGTTCGACCTCTTCTACTCGAATTCTCATCCGAGTGCCAAAGTGACAGACAGGCTCATCCGCCAGCAATATGTCTGGCCCAAGATGAGTCGGGATATAGCTTCTTGGTGCAAGACATGCTTGCACTGCCAGCAATCCAAAGTCACCAGGCATACTACATTTTTGCCAGCGCACTTCGTTGCGCCTGACGGTCGCTTTTCACATGTCCATATCGACATTGTTGGCCCTCTTCTTGAGAATTACGGCTATCATTATCTCCTCACGATGATTGATAGGTTTTCTCGCTGACCAGAGGCAGTTCCTCTTGTAGAAATTTCCGCTGCTACTGTAGCACGTACATTCTACGACACTTATATTTCTCGTTTCGGGGCTCTTGCTGTCGTTACAACTGATCAGGGCGCGAAATTCGAATCGAGATTTTTCTCAACTCTTCTCGAGTTAGTCGGATGTCAACGCATCCGTACTTCAGCTTATCACCCTACTTCCAATGGAATGGTGGAGCGGTGGCATCGCTCTCAAAGCTGCACTCATGTGCCAGGCTGGCAACAACCAGTGGTCTCGTAGTCTTTCCACGGTTCTTCTCGGTCTCCGTACACATGTACGCCTCGACACCGATGCCGTCCCAGCTGATTTCGTCTATGGCACTCCCTTGAGATTGCCAGGAGAATTCTATGCTTTTGGTGAATTCCAAGACAACCCGTACAGTTTCCTTGAGGAACTTCGCGAATACATTCAACAGATTCAACCTGTTCCAGTCGCCCACAAAAACGCAACGAAACCGTTTGTATTCAAGGAGCTTTACTCTTGCTCTCATGTGTTCGTCTTGCTCAAGGTGAGAAAACCACTTCTCGAGAGACGGTACTCCGATCCTCACAAGGTCATTTCTCGCAACCTTGAGTCTCGTACTTTCACCATTGACCATTTTGGTAAACCGAAAGTCTGAGCTTCTTAAACCAGCTCATTTCCTCTCGGAAGACCTTTCCGAACAGAAAACCGACTCACAGGATCCTAAACCCGATTCTTCTCCTTTGGTAATTCTTTCCAAAGCTGTCGTAGCAAGCGAACCCGTCTCAACCCGAGATTTTCTGCCTCTGCAGCTACCCGATGACACACCGGGTCGAAGCGGGGATGGCACTGACCGATCACCTGCGAGTGTGCGACGCTCGCGCGATATAATCGGATCGCGAAACACAAACCTTGACGAACCTCAGCCGTCGTGTTCATGTGCGCCGCCGGTTTAACCGAAACTTTCTCGACCTATCCTTAAAACCGTAGGAATACGGTTAAATTCTCTAACACGATTGATATCCATTTAGTCAGTAAATACATCCGTCAACTTTCGGGCCATGGATCCAATCAACGATCTCATCAATGAGATAGAGATTTACAAGCTGATGCCAACAAGTTCTGCCGCCTGGAAGGACTGTTTCCTTGCAGACTTGTTCCTTTAAGAATGTATATTCTACATTTCTTCGTAATTATGTATGCGTTTTCTATAATGTTTAGAGTAAGCGTTCTTTATGTAATTACTATTTTGCGTCCACGATGCCTTGTACGTGTCATTGTTCTGACACTAATCGCTTGTATTACATTGTATAAGCGTCTCTCTCTGAAGTCAAATGACGGCTCAAAAACGCTTCCCCGTCATTGGGTGTGTGTGTGTGTGTGTGTGTGTGTGTGTGTGTGTGTGTGTGTAGGCACGTCCCTGCCTCTGAATACCGCATGGCGCATGCGCGCCCCACTACTCAGAGAGAGTGTTCTGGCGTAGCTGGAGAGGCACTGAACCAGATATCAGTGTGCAGAGAGAGAGTCTCCTACCGGCATCCATCTTGCACGCGTGTCTCCACGCGCTCGTTACACAGTTCAATACATATTATTCATTACTAAATACCAGTTAGTGTTATTTAACCGCCAGCCCAGAACACGGCAGTTTATATAGGCCTGCCTATACCAACAAAGCCTATACTAATCCTACTTATTGCTCCATCTACCTGTATCTCATCAAGGCGGGCGGCAAATTGAAATTAAAGAAAGTATACTTTCTTTATATATGTAATTTTTTTATACGTCAACATGCTTACAGATTTGTTTACGGTATTGTTTTCTTTAAAAAGCTGAGTGTACAAATCAATTTTTGACCTACTGTACGATTACTATCCAGGACGGTAGACAAACTCGGTGAAAACAAAATTGCTATTCTAATATGTTATAAAAGTAAAAATGTTTGGGTACTCCCATTTCACGTAAAGTGGTGAATAGCCCTTTCACATGAGCATATAGCACGACTGTCTTGAACCATAACGTGTTCGAAATCATGTACATTTATGAATTTAGTAACAAAGCTCCTATCCCTGATAGAACTTGCGTGGCCGTCTAAGGATTAACCCTTTGAGCAGTGAGTTTTAATGAAACTGAGTGTAACGATTAAACGATTAAATAGTAATGTACATATAAAACGATCAAGGTCAGATATAAATTAATAGGAGGAATACTGTTTTGACGCAAAATTCGAAACACACTCCAGCGTGTAAATCATCAAATACCTGTTATGACAATGTATATTATAAAATGAAACCAGCTCTTATTAACTGTATACATTACAAAGTTCGCATACGTTGGTACTGCTCAAAGAGTCAATGTATCTTCGAATTGGATAGCAAATAAAAAGACATACAGGGTGAGTCTTCTAACATGACGACCTTAAACAACTTGTAAGGTATTCGTTGTACGACAAAATGTTTCAAACAAAAGTTGCATAGTATCTAGGGGTGTACACAGTACTTTAATCTGTTTTTTATTACCTTACTTTTTTATTGAGATATTAAGGTCACCTTCAGTTGTTTAAATGGAATGTCTAATATTTTTTTTCGAATTCGAATAAATCATCAAATTTTGTGTAAAAAAGTATTACACAACGTGGGACTTGAAATGAATAATTACTGAGATATCTTCAAATTAATAATCTTCTATTAGGAAATACGGCAGGTTATGTCTGTAAACAAGTTCCCTGTTAGATGTTAGAAATCATCAATACGAAATGCCTATTTAGTATCTCAGTAAACACTAACGTCGTATTGAGAAAGGTGCTACATTTTTATTACGATGTTCAGTAACGGTGAAAAATACGATATGATAATTGTTTATGGCGCGTGTGAATAAAATGCTATAAAAGCTAAGATTTTGTACCAAGGTATAGTATCCTGATCGAGTATAGTATATAGTAGCTACTACATAATATAGTAGCCAAATTTGATGATTTATTCGAATTCGAAAAAAAATATTAGATATTTCATTTAAAAAAGTGAAGGTGACCCTAATATCTCAATAAAAAAGGTAATGTAATAAAAAAACAGATTAAAGTACTGTGTACACCCCTAGATACTATGCAACTTTTGTTTGAAACATTTTGTCGTACAACGAATACCTTACAAGTTATTTGAGGTCGTCGTATTAGAAGACTCATTCTGTATAAATGTTGCAGCCACTTGTAGTACATTTTATCGTACATAAATATTAGAAAAGCATTCATAAATTAAATAAACATCCAATAAGAAAGCGTAATGGCGTATAATTGTTTGAATCGTGTCTGTAATATTAATGCAGAGTGTTATAATTTAATGAAACTATTGTGTATTGTATTGAAATTTAATTGTGCGTGTTTATGCGTCAAGTATTTCCAATAATGAAAGCTTTGACTTGAAATGGTCCACGATAAACAAGGAACGGGACCGTTGTTGACTATGAACATGTTATACATTACTACTTAATAGTATTATTACTTTACTCTTCTACTATAATCATAATGGTGTACAACGCTAAACGCAATTTTAATAAAATTTAATTCTAATAAGACATTTGTTGTTCCATTGTTTTGCAAAATTTCTACGATCTTTTTTGTACTTACATCATTCGGTCGCCTGAAGCTGTCCATACTCCTCTCTGAACATATACTGCTAGTTTCACTGTCATCGCTGTGATCACCTTTCCCCCTTGGTGTTCTGGTATAGCTGTCGATATTATCAAACGTAAGTGCATCCGCTAACGCTGATTCCGCTTCGCGCGATTGTTGAAGCATCTTTTGTGCCATAACTGGCCTAGACTGAGGCCTGTCCGTAGGAGACATATGTAAACTCCTTCCCCTAAATATAAGAAAATACTCTTATTTATATAGATATATTTAATATTGCTTGTTATAGTGAAAATTCAATCATCATTAGTTAGTTTAAATATTTTTACTATAATGAATTTTGGACCTCCTCGATAATATCTATGTCTCTATTACTTTGTGTACAAAAATAGAAAATAACATAGATAATAAATTAATAACTAATATTTCACACGATTGATAAAAACATAGTGTACAGAAAATTAAATGTAATCACATAAATAAAGTGTTAAAAAAAAAAAAATGTGAAACTTAGATCTTGTTTAGACCAGATAATTATATTTTAAATGCTTATCGTGAATACGTTATGTTCATAAAAAATACACATATCATGTAATTTTAAAACTTATCATGACAAGATTATAGTCTATTCATTTGTTGAATCCTATCGTCTTAAAACAAAAAAAGTGCTTTCTTTTATGCTAAGTTTCGTATTTGTGTCCTGCAAAATGTATCTTACCCAGAAGAATCAATATATTTACTATAGTCAAAATGTTCAGATAAATTAATTGAAACATTGCTTGTTCGTATATTTTATAATTATTGAAGTTGTAATGTCCAAATAAATATAATACCGTATTTTTGTGGCAAAACTCCTATCCATTCCAAACCTTTGTGGGCTGGGTTCACGGCTATTGCCAGTGCTCCTGATTCCGTGACTGGGTAATCGCCTGGGTCTCGCTATTAAGGATTCTCCTTCGCGATTATACGTCGCATAACTCAGCCTAGACGACGGTGATCCTGATCGACTGCTGGCTGTTGCCATGAATAGATGAATTAAATTTCTATCTTATTTCCTTAAGTATGTCGAGAAACCGTTTTGTTCTACTTACGTTGAGATTGCGACACTCCGGCCATTCTCGTTCGCGTCCTTGCCGTTCTTTCTGGACTAGCAACTATAGCAGTGTCTGGTGACTTAGTTGGACGGGCTAAACGAAGTAATAATGTATACCATTTATATGGAAAATATCCATACCCCCCCCCTTCTTAACATTTAAGAGCAAATAAAAATTGCAGAAATATGTTCGCAGGTGGTTCACATAATTAACTACATAGAAGAAGAGCTTGAGTTTGATAGATAAAAGATATTTTGTGGGATAGATATTGGTTGTCTTACTTTAAAATTATTCTACTACATTCCATTTCAAATACTCTTGTGAACACATTTAGGTATTTATATACTTCTATGTGGTATACATGCATTTAGATATATTCCTATATGGGTATATATGTATATCGTACACATCGAAGAGTAACCAATACTATCAGATACTAATTTTGATTATAGCAAGGTAATATGCGTCGCTTGGTTAAAATATGCAAAAATAATCATTTAAATAATTACTACTCACGGAGAGATGCTTTCTGTCTGCTGATATTCGCATACATCATCCTCGCTTTCGCTCTTTGTGCGGCTTGCAAGTCTATAGCGCTAGTCGATCTAACGCCTGTGGTTGGACGATCTGAAGAAAAATTCGAAGGACACACATAAAGATACCGAAGAACTTAGCGTCACGTATATGCATTAGTGCAATATTCTAAATCGCGGTGATCTTTCCAAGCATCAAACAAGAACGTGACAATTACAATGATTATCAGTGGGTCTTTGTAGAACTGGGATACCAGACTGGCGATAAGACCGTGGTAAGGACGGAGTACGTCTGAGGGAGCCATGTGGTTGACCCGAAGTTTGATGCAAATTTTCCGTACTACCTTCACGTTTAATGTAAAGGGGAGTCACAAAAGCAGCATGAAAAAAAGTGAGAAGTGTTTTACACTGCATTGCTCTTCTGATAGCCTTTGTATTTATATGTACTCCAATTACTCTCTGCTAAAAGTACTGTCTCCTTAAAAGTACGCAAAAATTGAACAAAATTTACCTGTGGCGCTCATTACTGGTCTCGATGTTCTCGGACTGATACTCGCTGACCTTGTAACTACGTTTACACTGTTAATACTACCACTATTGCTAAGAGACATTAACGAACGTTTGTACGCAGTGTCAAGACTATTTAGCAACGCTTCTGCTTGCTCAGGAAAATGATCCTTAAATGCCCAATACGATCTGGAAACATACAAAATAGAGTTGTTTATATGTATTGCTTTTTAAAAAAAATGAATATTGATCCGAGTGCAAAATGTATTTACTTCCTAGCGAAAGCTCTAGCTTCCGAGTCCGAGTCTGCGATACCCTTTTTAATCGTGTCTTGCAATGTTTGTACATGTTTCTGCAGTATTTGGGTAGGCCACGTTTGTAGAATTAGATTTAGATATTCACATGAAGCTCGTCTTATGTCTTTACTTTTGTTACTTAAACAGGAGGAGATAATTGGCACGTAACGACTGCAGTGTGTATTTTGAAGAATAAACCTCACAGCCACGGCACCAGCAGTTGCGACAACCTGGATCAGCATAATTATCAATATAAGTTACTTTGTGTTGGTATATTTCCCGTCTGACTGTGCTGATAACAATTTATCACAAAAGAATGTTTAAATGATATGTATTCTTTCATAATACATCTGGAAATATGGTTTTCAATAATCAGTACAAATAATACAAGTAAATCTTAAATAAATTTTAGGGGGTTATTATCGTACATGCGAAAGAAAAAAGGGGTTTTTCGAGAATTTTTATTTTGAAGACATTAACGTTTCACAATTATTTGTTATGTGAAATAAAAATTCTTAAAAAATAATAGCCTCTTAAGGGGGTATTCTAGTCTAGAACTTTCAAAAAATCATTTTTTTTTCTTGTATTTTCTCAAAGTGTAAACCTTTCAAAATATATCTGTTAAAGGATTTTGTTGAATTTGGAAAATTAACGAAATTAGGGACATCTAAAGACAACGGTGTCCGCAACAAACGTCGAATTGTTATTTCGGTACCGTAATACCAGGTATATTTTTGCAAAATTGACGGTTTTGTGCTTTTAGTTAAGAACAGAGGACCTTCAGTCACTTTAGGTTGCTCATGTATATTTTCAAGCACTCAGTGCGTTTAGTTTAACTACAATCCCCAACCAAATCAGATACGAGTTCCGAGTTGAAATATTCAGTAAGTAAAGTTTTATACAAATTGTACATTTACACGTTTCTCGATCTAAAAAAAACAAAATTTCAAGGAAATCAACATAGCGTTGAAACAGATACATCTTATACCAGCACATCTACCAGAAAATTCAAGAATAAAGAAAATCTTGACGACGTTATCATCTTTAAGTTCGTTTGGATATTGCATTTTAAATTTCTTTTCAGTTTTTATAACACTTTTTCATTGGTAACGTGTAAAATGTGCAAAAGTGGCATTCACTTTTAACAAGCAAGTAAACGAGAAGTGGGTTTTAATCGTAATTGTAAGTATACGTATCTTCAGCACATGTGCCCTTATCGCCTGAATCGCGGTTTACAAAATCTGATTATTCTAAATATTGTTCTTTTAATATACTAAGGACAAAATAAATATAAAAAAATCGATATTCAAACTTTAAAGTGCTGCCATTCCTTGCATTTTCAGTATTTCATAATAATTCTAATTCGGGCCATAATGACGCTAATATTGATGAAGATGTTTCTTGATTTTTTTATTTCAAGATAAACAGAATGGTCGAAATCGTGACAACCACAAACATACTTTTTTCAGGAGGGACTGTACAAGATCACTTGTATATACTACGTTTAATTTTGATAATTTTTACCTGCAAACAATTTTGTATGTTCTTAACATGTAAATAAATATGTGTGCAAAACCTTTTATAAAAATTCCTTATAGATTAAACAAAAATTTTCAGAAGAGCTAAAAATTGACGCTCTAGACTAGAATACCCCCTTTAATAAGAAATGAAAATTACCAAAGAAAAGCTAATTTCTTACGAAACGCACCTTGGCACTATTTTGTATGAGGTTCATTAATGTGAGTAAAACCGCCTCTCCGAAACTAGCAAATTTATTTTTCAATTGTTGACTAAGATATGCTAGAGTAATACACGCCTCCCTTACAACTTGTGACCTAAGATCGCTGCAAGCAACTTCAAAAGGTCTTTGCACGTTTTTCAAACATTCTAGAAAGTTCTCGTAATTTACTCCTCCCGCGATAATGATAGATCTTAACTTCTTCATCTGTAAAATGAATTAAGTTTATTACACATGTCCACTGATACACGGATAGTCGTATATTTTGAGAACAGTTTAATTCTTCCAGCACATACACTTTCTGTTCTTTGTTTCCAATCTTTTTTATCATCACCAACGACGTCTTTTATAACTTTCATCTGTTCTTCGAGATCTTTTGCTGAAAACAACGTGACCGCTGGTACATCTTCAAACGCTGTAAGAAACGTCTCTTCGTCCACGGAACCTGCCTGACCTAAATACATTAATCATTAGTGCATACAACCCTATTAACATATTAACATAATACTACTTATAAAACAATGTCGATCTGCAATGTTGTCGGAACTGATTACGATAATTCTAAAACATTTTGGTTCTAAATCTATTTCCAAATATTTTTAACGCGCTTTACCTTGAATTTATGATTTTTATAAACAGATACAAATTCTAAATGTATATCATACGATACCTTATAACAATCCTAAATATTTTGAGAAACGTAATACATTATTACTAAATGAAGGTGACATAAAAAGCAGTGAAACAAATTATAGATGGTTAAGCATCTTATTAAATTTCACACTCCTATTAAATAAAGCGGAAACGAACAAAGATAAGCAATGATGTATAAAGATGTTCAACGAAAATATGCATGGCATATGACCAGTATTAGTTTCACCAAATTCGAATAATTTCTTATTTTTTGTATTTATACCATGATGGATGTCTATAGAAACATAAAAATAAAATAACATAAAGACGATAAGTTTCTAACATAATATACGCAACTTATTTCACAAACCATCATGATATAATACAAAACTAGTAAAGCCAATGGAATTTTAGATACCTGGTGTCGATTTTACAGACACGTTTCTTTTGGTGGTTGGTGCCCTTGGAACCATGGGTGCTGGGTTACCTGGTCGAGCTGTCATGCAAGCCAATAATTAGCATTCTCATCACCAAAATGTCAATAGCCATTTATGTCAACAGACATTTTATTGGCAAACGATGGAGAAACATCATTAATATTATTTAAAATGCTGAGCCGCAGTAAGGAGAAAGCGTAAGAGTTATAAGTTAGCACACTTCACACCTGTGCACTGGTTGTAGGAAGAACAGGTGCTTCCGTTAAAGTTAATCATAAAGTTTGCAACACTCATGTGAATGAAATTAAATAAGTCAAATACTTATGTTTCGGAGAAGTAAAGCATTCGTTTGTAGCACATACAGCGCCCTTTAATTTACATACAACATAATGGTAAAGTAAATGTAAATTTATGAATTAAAGGTTAATAACCAAGTATATCGCCTAGAAATTATAAATAAACTTGAATTAAAGTCTTAACAGGTATTCTCTAGTATCTATTTTATTTTTAATATTTCTAAGGAAAACTTCAAAAATATTCTAACGTACTATGCTTACAAATACAGTGACAATTTTACTATACTTCTGATCAACATTGAAGAACTAAAGGTTAAAAATTATTTTTGTGATACACCTGCTCGACTATATTATAATATACCATGCTCAAAATAAAGTAAAAATAAAGATTATGTTTGTATCTTTTGATCTTATTAATTTATACAAAATTACACATATTAGTAGTTTTATACAAAATATACATGTACCTATAGCAGAAGATGGAGTTTTAGCTGGTCCAAATTGTCCTCTTTTTGGAGGAACAGCTGTCCTTTTCACAGGAGCAGATTTAATCTACAACATTTAATTTTATTCCACTTTAATTCACAGGCCTAGACACATATCGTTTCAGTTTATTTATATCTAACACTTACCGCCCGGTCAGGTTCATCGGTACTTTTTCCAACTGAAATCAAAAATATCAAGTATAAGATTAGCGAAAGAATTTCTTTGCGTAAGAATACTTTTTTCTTCAAAGAGAAATAAATAGTTCACAGAATACATTTCATTGTAGGGCCAGCTCTATTTATGGGTCAAGTAGATACTAAATTCTATCCATGGGTTCAAATTTATCATACAACTCTTATCAATTCCTTCTATCACCTCGAAACCAATTTTTATAGTATGTACAATATATATATATATAAAACTCTCAAGATTAGAAAAATCATGTAACTTAATATTTGCAAGAAATGAAATAAGTTAGTGTCAAAATAAACATTATTGAATTTAATATTTAACAGTAAGTGCATAAATGATTTATGTCAACAATTATAAGCTTCTTATTTTTATAAGTAATCATTATGTAATTTTTTGTACAAATTGCCAAGACGATTTGTCTGAGTACATAAATTATCTGTTTGGTTAAATCATACAATAACGATATGAATTTTCTCATGTCTCTTGTAAATAGGCTAAGTTTCTTTATGCAAAATAGAATCTTTGCCAACCTACCTACAAAAATGTAACTTAAATAGGAATTCATTTTACTTTGCAAATATTGTAATATAAATTTTAATAAACTTTTAACTTTTCGGCAAATTTTATTTTACAGTCTTGATGATTCGGCTTTTTAGTTAAGTGCAGGGCCGGTTTTAGCAATATTAGCGCCCCGGGCAAGATTAACGTGGCGCCCCTTCAGAGGCTTAACATTTTTAAGAAAAGAAGACAAGGTAATAATATCAAACGATGAATCTGTAGCTAGATTGTAAAAATTGTTAAACTACAATATATAGCAGCTTTACTAATGTAAAGTAATTTAATACGATCCAACGGATAAGTTTTGGTTTCTTAAGTCATCTTTCTTAACGAAGTATTGTTTTTCTCCTTCTATCTTAATATATATATATCATGTTTCCTTTGTATTGCTTGGCAGTTTCTTGCTTTTTTGATTATCTGATACTCTTCCTTTTCTGTTTGTTGGTTCTTCTTATAATATCTTATTGATATCTTTTAGAAATGTGTTCAAGGTTTTATATACTTTAACCTTATGTAATTTTATTAACGCGATTGCTGACTTCCCCACTTTTTCAATTTCTTTTTGAAGTTTTGTCCATATTATGTTTCGTTCAACATTGTACAAACCACATTCAAATAAGACCTGGTCTATGTCTTCATCTTCCTGGCCACATGGACAAGTTGAATCTTCCACACTCCCTTTCCTTGCAAGCGATGCTCTTAGATTATAGTGGTTACACCTGATCCTACTGTTGATCTGTCTAATTTATCTTTGTATTTTATAAACCAAGGTTTATATCTTGCTCTCTTGTGATTTGGTCCTATTTCTCTCATAAAGAGAGCACCCTTCTCTCTTCCTATTTTCCTTGCCTTTTCTTTGAACTTATTCAAAAATTCTTTTAGATCTACTAAAATACCTTTTGCTGGGACTTTGTATTGTGTATCATGGATCCTTTCAGTTTGTTTTTTTACTTCTTAATCTACTAGTTCGTGTCCTGTGATATTACTGTGCCCCGGAATCCATCCTATTATTAATTTTCCAGTGTTTTTCCTATTTGCTAACTTTCACGTTTTGTATGTCCATGGATTGTCAACGATTTCTTTGAAATTCTTATTGATATTTCGCAGTGCTATAATAGAGGACATAGAGTATGTAAGAATTATATAGTTTTCGTGTTCTTCACGTTAGTATTTATGTTCAGGTAGAAGCATGTTTAAACAAAAAAAGCTTAGTGTCACGTCAGTAATCTTAGTAAGTGTGGTGTAATCTCAGAGTGTTTGTAAGTTACGATGAATGCCGCAAAAGTGTATCGGGGCAGGAAAGATACAAAAAAAATCGTATCCAACGCCTCTTCCATCCAACCAAAATTGACAAAAAGAGCTTTTTTTTAGGCTGTTACAGTAGTGTTACCCCTTAATGTACCTCTTAATTAATGTGTAATCATTATACTGCGGATTATATGCATTTATAATATAAACTAATATAATAAACACATGCTATACATAACCAAAGGGTATGTGCACGTATCCAAAACGAAATAACAATATTACTATAATAATTTCAGAATATATCCAGCATACATTATGTAGATTCCATAACCAAGGGTATGTTCACTTATGCAAATTTAAATAACAATACTATTCATATCAATGCAACGTATAAAAATGTAAATCGCTCGTTTGAAATCATCAGTAGCGAGAGCAGGAATGCATCTGTGACTAACTATATGCACGAATGCGAGATTATACATGTCAGCGTCAACGTCCTTAGAAACCTTTTACGGTAAATAGTTGGTCGTATTTTGTACTGCGACAGTTTTATGGCAGGATCAGGCTTCGACCATATACAGGGTGTCCCAAAAATGATGTAACACCTTGAATGGAGTGGTTCGGGAGGTGATTTGAAACAACTTTTTCCTTAGCGAAAATGTTGTCCGAGGCTTCGTTGAGGAGATATTAACGGAAAACACTGATCGATCAGAGCGCGAAAGAATCCCAAAAATGTTTGGGACACCCTGTATAACAAAGATAAAGTATAATGTACTAATATTTTTGTTAAAAACATTTTGTTAAAATATGTATATTATATGTAACGTGTAGATATCGATAAACGACAACAATAGAAGAATAATAACAATGATGATAATAATAATGATAATAAATAGTCTAAATCCCCCGAAATAACAATCTCATCGTCAGTATACGAGGTTCCAATCGATCAGTAGCACTTCATACCCTTGAGCTAGCCCTGCGTGCAATGATTAATTTCGTGAAGAATTTATTTTTAGAACTGTGTACCTAAGTCTGGATATAGCCATGGCGGTTTATGAATGTCACAATGGCATCCTCTTGCCCTAGCACCTGGGTGCTTCACGATATTATCCCATTGAAGAATCCAATTACTACTTGGATCCCAGATCTTTTTATCGATACTAGGATATCTTTTCAATCCTCTATGCAAACAGCGATGGCTGCTTGGGAGCAGTATACCGGTATCGTTCATTTTACGAAGAAAAGATTCAACACTGCACAATTAACGAACAACCGTTCCTGAATAATCTTTTATGTTGCGTAAAGTCCAACTTATATTTCAACATGATTCGAAGGAACACCACCTTTGTGTGAGAAGTCCTCACCGTAGCATAGCGAGTCAACGCAATCTTCTTCTCGTATCCTTAAAAATGAACATGGCGCTAATTAAGATGACACACATCGATAGACGAAGTTGAACAAACGAAATGTTTCCGTAAGAGAAGGAAGGAACTTCCTATAAACATGTGGTTCTATATTTTTCCGTCTACATAGACATAAAGACTCGAGGAAATATGTAGCGTATCTCAAAAGTGAAGGTTCGGGGAAAATTTTATTCGTCGTTATGTTCCCCATCGTAGATTGTTACTTTCTGTAAAGTGCATCTAGGAACACCCTGTATAGAACGAACAAGGTAATTGACACTTGCGTCGGTGAAAGTGATTTTCAGTGCTGCTTTAATTATTAGGCGGAGGATTCTTTCAATTAGTTAGAATTTTGTAATTAGCGTGTCGTGGAATAAATATAAGTTTATCGAATTTTTACTTAAATGAAATTATTAACAATATATGAAGTCTGTTTAGTATTAAAAAGGGAAGTACTAATAATTTCATTTTGATAAATTTTCAGTAAAATGATTTTACTTACTAAAACTATATTACATAAAAGCAACATAAGAATAGAAATTTCCTGTCCTTGTAAAATGAACTGTCTTAACAATACTTCTCAGATCTCAACAATCACCTAGCACAATATGTAGTCTGAACACTTGTCCGTTCCCAATTGTCGACAGTTGCCGAAAATGTACGAGGATAACCGACGACGATCAAACAGAAACGTTTGAACGACTTACAATGTGATGCGAAGCAACAATTAAACCGGTTTGAAGGACGGCGACAGAATTGTACGCTATTTCAGATATTCTAAACGTTTTTTGTTTACCACTGTAATTATCATCCATTGCACAAGAACAGAAAGGCAAACGTAACAAAAATTAATGAAGCGTGTCAAATACATAGAAATATTATAGACAGAGACAGGCCTGTTCTGTGATGCTAGTGTTGGTTCCAATTCGCCAATGCACGTCCAAAAAAGCTGAAGGTGCAGTATTAGGCCGTGTTTCTACACGCGAGAAAACTTCTGTAATAAATGTCTGACAGATCGTAATCGTAATCATAATTACGATTACGAATGTAATTAAATGTTTGAGAGTTATGATTACGATAAAAATTACAATCGTAATCACAAATTTGATTGCGATTACGATCGTATTTTAAAGTGTTTTCAGAGATACAAGTTTTGTACCTAAAAACCGACTTCAAATTCGACCTCGACCCAAAAAACTTAGAAAACCATGCCCTTGTTCAAAATCCAAAATTTAAAAAAGTTACCCTGTGTAGGTCCTATCCTATTGGCATGAATTATTTTAACTGAAAATTTATAATTTTTGATTTTGACAAAGGCATGGTTTTCCAAGTTTTTTGGGGCGAGGAACACGAATCTGAAGTCGGTTTTTAGGTACAAAATTTCTATGTCTAAAAACACCTGAAAATACGATCGTAATCGCAATCGAATTTGTGATTACGATTGTTATCGTAAACTGAACATGAAACATTTGATTACAATCGTAATCGTAATCACAACTCGGAAACATTTGATTATAATCGTAATCGTAATTATGATTACGATTATGCCCAACACTGCTGCAAGTGAGATCGCGACAGTTCCTATGCGCTCACAGCAATTTGTAGCGAGAGCCAATTACTTGCAGATCTAAAACGCTCACATCGACTCGACGTAATTTCTCGCACAATAGAACTGGATTTCGTATACAGGGTGCCCCAAAAATGTTGTAACACCTTGAAAGGGGTGGTTCGGGAGGTGATTTAGAACAATTTTTTCCTTAGCGAAAATGTTGTCCGAGGATTCATTGAGGAGATATTAACAGAAAACCCCGATCAATCAGAGCGCGCGTATACCGTTGGAGCGGCCGCGGTGGGCGTGGCTACGCGCTCGCGCTCATACCTACCGCGAAGCCTCGGACAACATTTTCGCTAAGGAAAAAGTTGTTTTAAATCACCTCCCGAACCACACCTTTCAAGGTGTTACAACATTTTTGGGGCACCCTGTATATCGCGCTCGCAGTGACACTTTTCGATTCTGTCGTACTTTTACATTTCTTTCTATTACTGTGTAATAAAAGAGTCGAAATAAGTTGCTAACGACTCTTGTGAGGTTGATGCAACTTTAAAAATGAAATTAAAAAAAGAACAGAAAATATAATTTAATTAAACATCGCGTTTCTATCCGTGCCGTGAATCACAAAAGCAAGGGAGACATAGAATTGTTCTTCAGGCAAATTCATTTCCATGTATTTGTCGCTAAGGTAACAAAAGTTGTATTTTACAATGTATTTTATTAGTCAAACGTGTCCGCGGTCGAAGTTAGCCGACTAGTACATCTGGAAAATAATAAGTACCATCGAGCGAGACTTGACAAAAATGATCGAAATCAGAAAATTTGTACCGCAAGGATCTACACAGTGTCGAGCATAATTCAACGTGCTAATGTGAGAAGCTAGATTTGCATTCGTGATATCATTCGTAACAACCACGGCAATGAGACACGAAAGAGTTATTTTCTCACGTTACAGATAGCGCGCGGTGACATCCTCGTCACGTTCAATTAGTTAGGCTAAAGAGCTACATAGGTAACTTTTGCTTGATATTAGAATATCGCATAACGACTCGACGCTGTAGTTTTTCTTCCATAATTTGATCAATGAGACCACAACGTAATTTTCCATACAGTGACATTTCAGGTTTACAATTTATGTTGTGACTGGATAACCTGATTATAAACAATACGATTAACTCTTTCATTCCCACTGTAACCATGGAGGTTATAGTATATAAATATTAGTTAATATTGGAAATATTAGTGAATAAAATATTAGTTAATATTGCAAATACATTTAGTAATCTACGTATCTATTGGTTTGGATTTCTTATCCGTGGCCTCACAACACTAGCTGTTTTCTATTATGTACATATATTATTTGTGTTTTAATTGTTAACTTGATAATAACGTTCCGTTTATAATAAATGTAGAAATTAATTCCGTATCTTTAAATTCAATCATTTATAACTCTAGTTTAAGTACAAATATTTAATCGTCGTTCTGTTACTATATGTTCAATTTCTAGCCTTCTAGGTTCTCGACCTGGTCTCCATTACAATGAATCTATGTATATATATGTATATGTATATTATACAATCTAAGTCCTAATCTTACAATTATACTGCAAATCTGTGCATAGAAATGCATAGAAATCTGCAGTCTACTTATACCCATTACAACATATGTATATGTATATCTATACAGGGTGTCCCAAAAATGTTGTACCACCATGAAAAAGGTGGTTCGGGAGGTGATTTGAAACAACTTTTTCGTTAGTGAAAATGTTGTCCGAGGCTTCGCGGTAGGTATGAGCGCGGGTGCCTAGCGCATAGTCACGCCCACCGCGGCCGCTCCAACGGTATACGCGCGCTCTGATTGGTCGGGGTTTTCTGTTAATATCTCCTCAACGAATCCTCGGACAACATTTTCGCTAAGGAAAAAGTTTTAAATCAACTCCTGAACCACCCCTTTCAAGGACCTCCAACATTTTTGGGACAGCCTGTATAGGAAAATTGGCAGTCATAAAATTTTGCTTATTATTATTATTCTAATAGATTACAAGTTCGTGTAGATATATTGTAACAGAGATCAGGTTGAGGATTTAAAATATTCGTACTTTAATATATCAGAATGTCGAGCAAATGTTGTCTGTTTTATCTAAAGTTATAAATAATTTAATACAGAGGCACAGAATTAATTTCTACACCTAGTATAAATGAATGTCTACATTATACAACCACAGTTATCCGTATTGTCAAATTTATGGTGTTACTGTGTAACATAATTAGAAGAAACAAATTGACAATTTTATTCCTACTATAATTATGAAGATACATAAGATTATTGAATGAAATACTACATAGTTATCCATATATTCAAATTAGTAAATGCATACTGGTTCATTTTAGTCTTGTATAAATGCTGATGGCATAAATTTTTACATATAACATATATTAAAAAACTCGGTAGTAAAGTAGATCAAATGAGTATATATCTTTGAAATATTTCAGGTGGGTTCGCAAATCAAAGGTAAGCGACAAGATTTTCAATGATTATCAGAACTTTGTAATATAATTATCAGACATTTTTGCAACGATAATAATAAGAAAAATATCATTTTTAAATGTTTCCAAAGAATCAAACTATTTCCGTACATCAAATCTCATCTAATATGCATGAATATGCATAGAAATATGTTTTTTGAATAATTTGGGAATCAAAGAGTAATCAGATTCCAGAGCAAATTAATGAAATACAGTTAACTAAAACACCAGGCTTAAAATAGTGAGAAAAGTACCCAAGGTCGTCTCGTTCATTCAATGACTTCAACCTGTCTGTCCGTTTTACGTAAAAATTTCCCGTAAGTTATAAGAAATAATCGCTATATAAAATAAAATGAATTGCATTTCCAAGTATTATTACGTCACAAATGCCGCGCGCGGCGTTTAAGAGTAATTCATTACTGCGCGTACACGTGTATATGCACGAGCCTTCGCCCATAATGCAGCTTCCATCAAGATCTTTGATTTATCTTTGGAAAATCTACCTTTCGCACGGTGTAACGAACATTTGCGTCCTCTCCGGAAAAACCTAACTATCGACGAAGAAAATCTTCGCCGAACATTTCGACGAAAGTGAAATTCGTTCGTTCATGGTGAGCACGAGAAAGTACATTAGTAATTCAAAGAAGCTATTATTTCTTTAACGAATATTCTGGACATGTTCGCGACAAAATTGTATATCTTCGTTTTAGGGATATTCGATTCTTAATCGATCGTTTTTGGGATTAATTCATTTTCTTTTCTTTTTATATTTAACGTTAAAGGATGTGGTTATTTGGTTATAAGTAGACTGCGGATCGTTATGCATTTATAGGAAACTTGAATGTCTAAGAAGCTACAAAATGCAAACAATACGCAAGAATATAAAAAAGATTGAAAGTAAAGTTCACGTTATAACATTTGCAGAATAAAATAGATTCCTATTTAGGTTCAATTTTTTTAGGCACGTTCGCTAAGATTTTATTTTGAATAAAGGTCCGCAGTCTACACTAGCGGACAAGCAAACCGGAACGATTTTTCAAATGCTCATAACTATGAGAGCTTTCAATCGATTTCGGTGAAACTTCGTGAGGAATAGTCTCCAAATGTCTTCCGAGTGTGTGTAAAGTTGCATTGGCGAGGATTGATGTGAATTGATGCCCACTTACTACTCTTTCAAATCTGCACTGTTTTGACAACGAAAGCGTGATTAAAAAAATCTAATTTTGTGGGGATCTGTTAATAAAGCATTCGCGCGTCCCAATCCGCGAACGGCGTTGACGTGGGGTTACTCGTTCACCCTGCCGATGGGCCTGAAGTTGGAAGCGAGTTTTTAAAAAAATCGACTTTTTCGAATTTTATTGCCATTCACGCGGGAAAAAGACATCAAAACTGTGTCGCCTCGATGCCCTGGACTGTTGGACATGTGAACCACGCAACAAAACAACGTTCCAACCCTTACACGTGGGGGTAGACCACCCCTACCTTTGCCCCCTCCTTTCAGCACGGGGGCAGTTTTCGAAACGGGACCTTTTTCGGCATTCATCCTTAACGTATCGAGAACAAACATGGTGAATTTCATCGCCCTCCGATGAATGGAAGTGCTCCCTTACGAAGTGGGTTGAAAATTTGCGAGCTGTTCCACCCCCCCAAGGGTACCTATGGGGTGCACGGTATGGGTGATAGGATTTTCTGGATCAGGGGACTCCAGAGAATGCATTGACTCCAAAATCGAGACCGTCGTCCAAAAATTGGGGATTTTAGAGGGGGTAGGAGGTTGTGGTGGGTGGGTTTGTCCGAGAGGGATTTCAAGGAGTGCATTTTGTAGAGGGCATCAAGGAGAGCCGCCTCAAAGGTTTTTTTGAATTTTTCAACCCCTTCCGTCATCCCTGGCCTGTTTCAAAAAGGCGTTTTTCTACATCTTCCCCTCTAGGGGGGTGAATTAACCCCTTCACATCAATCCTCGTCAATGCAACTTTACACACACCCAGAAGACACTTGAAGACTATTCCTCACGAAGTTTCACCAAAATCGATTGAAAATTCTCATAGTTATGAGCATTTGAAATATCGTTCCGGTTTGCTTGTCCGCTAGTGTAGTTATAAGCGACTGTCTTTTATATCTTTTATATATGCCTTTTATACATGTTGGGCCAAATATATGCTATCCAAATTTTACACGAAAGTGCACATTTGCTTTTCTCGTCGAGAGGCTATTCTAGATTTGTCTCGCCTCCATGAAGCATGGATTTCGTTTCGGATACCACGTTTGTATCTTTTTTAAAGTTATTTTTACTGGAATTTCTACGTTTTTTTCAATGGATATTTACAATAAACTATGGAAAAGTAAGCAGAATTATTTATCACCCGTTAAGTGTCCATCTTATTTATAGTCGCCATTTCAACAATTCTATTTCAATTAATTTTTCCACAGATTCAACCTGGAATTTGAGGTTTATAAAATAACATGTTAAAGAAAATTTCAAAGTATTAAAAATTCTTTGAATATCTTTAAAATGCCATACTTACATTATATTATAAAACTTTTATATTATACAGTGTTCCAAAAATGATGTAATACCTTGAAAGAGGTGGTTCGGGAGGTGATTTGAAACAACTTTTTCCTTAGTGAAAATGTTGTGAAAAGGAGATATCAACGGAAAACATTGATCAATCAGAGCGTGAGTATACCGTTGGAGCGCTCGCGGTAGCGTATGAGCGCGGACGCCTAGCGCGTAGCCATGCCCACCGCGGGCGGTCCAACGATATACGCGCGCTCTGATTGGTCAGTGTTATCCGTTAATATCTCCTTAACGAAGCCTCGGACAACATTTTCGCTAAGGAAAAAGTTGGTTCAAATCACCTCCCGAACCACCCCTTTCAAGGTGTTACAACATTTTTGAAACACCCTGTATATTTTTTATACTACATTATGTATTATACATTATAGTTACATCACTACTAAATATTCCTCTTAGACTTTAAGATACAAATAAACTGTGTGAGAAAGTAAAAATCAGCAGGTGCATTCATTTCGTTAAAATTATTTCTCAAAGGATTTATTTTGGATCAACTGGCTGTCTAATTCCCTTTAAAGGTGTCTATTTCGACCAAATGTATAAATCCCTATCGATGATAGGGAAATATTCATTCTAGCGTGTCGTTGATTTTCAAAAGCAATTTTAATTATGAAGTCACTAGCATGGATTAAGTGGCTAATAAGCAATGAATAATTGATTGTTTAATTTTTTCTTAATGAGGGATACTTAGAAATCCTAAAAAATTAAATTTTTTTGAACTACAAAATTTCAAAAATTGCAACCGTTTATTTTTTATGGTTTAGACGCTTCTTCCTTTTCAATTGAATAATGATTTCAAAGTAAAATATAAATGAAACACAAAAAAGGAACGCTTAAATCGTAAAGTAACAAATATATACATCTATATTTTATGATCTTAACCCTTTGACTGCGGGACGATTTTTGCTGAACATTCTAAGAGGCATTAGAGGTGTGATTTTAAACAAAATATTAACGTGTAGAGAATGAAAGGACGGAACATTTTTGTATTTAGAGTTTGTTCATAGGACGTTTAGTTTCCAAAATAAAAATTCAAAACTTAGAACTCCACTTTCTTAAAATTTAATTACATTTGGAATGGTGGAAATGAAAATCATTGTTAGTTGACAATTACTTATTTGTCGAAGTTTTAAAAAATATCTCCTTATAAGAGATGATATGACGAAACTTTTTTTGCATTTACACTTTATTCATAGAACGTTTAATTTTCAAAAATAAAAATGAAAAACTTTAGACCTTTTTCCTGAAATTCAATTGCTGCAATGAACTCCTAGCTCTTCAATTTTTATTTTTGAAACTAATCGTCCTATGAATAAACTGTAAATATACAAAAGATTCGTCTCATTATCCCCTACAGGCTGATATTTTTGAAAAATTGATTTAACGAACACAAACATTTCTCGGATCTCATTTCTCGAGGACGCATATATACGCCCTTCGCGGTCAAAGGGTTAAACTTGGTTTCTGTAAATATGACTTTTGTTATCATTTTGTTTGTACCCTTTTATTTTAAATATTAAATATACATTTTTCTGGCACTAAAGATTTATTGACCTAACTAATGTAAATGATTTTCGTATGCAAAACACGGGGGTTCTCCCTAATTTAAGTTTAAGGAGGCTCTACAGTTACGCTGTAAGTCAATATAGAGTTACTATTGTCCCTTGATTCACGTAGTAGTAGATCTGGCATAGTATTTAGAATATTACAATGGTTCGCAATTTTATATCAAAATAAAAAAAAATTACTTAAAACATTGATTTTTAGTCGTTATTATATTTATATTGTATCATAAAGTAATATAAATCAATTATATTCAGACAAACTACAGTACTGTTTGTATTTGAACGCGCGTTTTCTAACCTCTCGTACAGCGTGCCAGATCTCTCATACTATGTCAATAGCAGAAGACAAAACGCATTATCCTAGTATTCGTTATTTGGTTAAACTTTACTTTGGCGGACCTAAAATTTTTAAGTTTTTTTTTTACATAAACCTGTACATTTCGGCGAGTAGAATCCAAAAATGCTAGTTTTAGGCGAGGAATCCACTGATTCGGAAGTTATGAGCAGTTAAAGGTGACCCTTTTTACCATATTTGTCAGGCAATTCAAAAGTTGAATTCGTACTCTAGGGTGGGGGAGGGGCTTCACCCTTCCCCCTGCACCCCGTCCCAGAGAAAATAGCCACGAACCAACTCTGTTAATTCGAAATATAGCAGTTTTCAAAAATAGGCATAACAATATAAAAGTAGTACATAATGTAGCCTGCCACCACCGAGAATTTGTTTTACCGACAGGTTATGGCTACAAGACAATATGGCGTCGAAAGTGTCAGTCAAATATGGTAAAATACCATTTTTAACTGCTTATAACTTCTAAACTAGTAGATTCCTCGCCTTAAAACTAGCTTCTCTGGATTTTTCTCGGCAAAATCTACAGGATTATGTAAAAGAAACTCAAAAATTTTAGGTCCGCCAAAGTAAAGTGCAGCCCTTTAATTTATTATAAATACTACAAGTACCCTTGGAGTATTTTGTAAATCAATATATGTTCTTTAGATATTTTTCTGTTATGCATAAACTTTTCGATCCAATCTCGGCGTCAATTACTTTGTAGCACGTAATTGAGTGTGTTGAAAACGCATTTACCCATAAGGGTCCACGTTAAAAAGTGAAAAATTGAAATATTTATTTCTTAGCGTTTAGGTACCCTAGCCTTCTCAAAATTTGTGTGAGTGTTTTTGGGATAAAATTTAACCCGTATACAAATTTTTATAATTTTCTTGGCGTTATTTCTATTTGCACTAGAGCCTCCTTAATGCCAACGTTAGCATACGAATGACACTACAAAATAATTGTACAAATACGTGCACTGCATAAATTTGTGTTCAACACTTTCCCGTGTAAATTTGGAAATACATGTGTTTGTGAAGTATTGGTAAATAGAAAAGGCGATATTTTGAACCAAATTTCGTAGAACTCAATGCATTCGATCAAAAATCAATTCCAAAAACGATTCCCTTACGAGAACCGAACATCCCTAATTCGTCTATTATTTTCTTTTCCTGCGCATTTCGATGCATCACTTTCAATCCAAACCGAATCAACGAACGCATTTACATGGATGCAGCCGACAGCGGAACGAATGTCTTCGCGTTTCATTCTCGAAGCAACGTCGGTCACAATGACTATTCCTCGCGGAACATAATCGTTGTCATCCTCCTATTCGTTACGTTTTGTTTTTAAGAAATACTTCGCGTCCGTTAGAACAGACTAACAGTCTTCCACTGAAACACAACACACCACGCGTTTCCTTTAAGAATACGATTAGTATTGTTGTTATTTAGTTTCACCAACTAAGGAAGTTCGTTATCGTTGAATATCGACCAGCTCGTCGCGAAACACTGCGATAGTCGACGGTAATCCATGTGAAATATCGCACATTCGTTGGAACGTTGGAACATATGACTGACACAAGGGGAACACTTCTGGGACGAATTAGTCGTTCTCGTAGCAACCACGTCGAAGAGATGTCGTTGGCAACTTGGTCGTATTTCGATACCGTCGCGTCTGATCAGGTAAACAAACAACGTGCTAGGAGAAACTGAAACGATCGTCCTTGCCCATTATCCGTGAACAGTAGCGAGGCACGCATACGCATTCGTATAGAACGCGTCACTCTACGGACCCACGATCGTGTTCGGCCCCGTGACACAGCAAAAAAAAAGATCAAGATCACCACAGACTCGTTACGATTCCGAGTATATATTCGATACATCCGGCGAAACCGCCACTTGTAAAAATCTACTTTCGAGAGACACGCGTCTCTCACGTTGCTAAATGGCGACTCTCGTATACTCTACGAACTCTCCCGGTAAACGCTGCTTATGCGCGGGGACTGGAGGAAGGGGACCTTCTCCCCTATCGATGCCCCCGATTGGGGGGACCAAGCCGAGGGG